CCCTGACATCTCGACGACCATACCCACGCACTTAATTACCGGCTGTAATCCCACTACGACCCATCCAAAAATCTCACCAGAACCCACACCCCATATGCACGTACCCATTGACCTCACCCAAAGGATTACATCACCTAGGCCCGTCACTTATGGTAAAGATAACATATGCAGATACACCCCCTACCCATCGCAAAATTAAGAAGGTCGCTAAACAAGAAATCACTACACGCTGCTTTTACCCCCCCGTATCCGAAAGTGCCATATGCACCGCTCATATCTGTGTAACAACCTCTGCCAAAATGGAGCCCCTACCCTTATACCCAAACTACCCAGTCTATGGCATACCATCCTTAAAAACTTCATATACCAATTACCCGCAAGTTTCATACCCTCTCTGCTATGCATCTTTCATGTAAGAGTTATGACTGTTTCCATAACTGCTGGCGCCCCCGTGCGCTAACGCACGAGTTCTCGCCTGCATGACCAAACCAACCATCTCCTTCACGGCTCAGCTGTTCCTCCTGTAGGAAGAGTTGTTCGCCTAGCTGTTCCTACTCTGGGTGTCAGTGAGAAGTTCGTCCGCCCACCGGACGCTCAGCTTATGCTGAAAGCGATCTAACGTCTCGTTACGCAAGCGCACGAAGCGCTATGGCAGTGACTGATCCTCAAGCTGCACCGATCTTGACCCCTCAGGTATGGAATCCTAACTTCATCCTGCTCCATGCCCCCCCTCCCTCCTTCCCATCCCTCGCTTCCCTACCCTCCCGAAATGCCCCCCTCCCCTTCACTGTTGATTGGAGCTAATACTAATCCCTCTGATGAGCTTCTATGGGTGCTATGCAGTGAAAAGCGCGCTTAAGGGCGTGCATCCCCCCTACGTTTGGGGCCTGTCCCTCTCCTAACACCTAACCTACTAACACTAATTACTAAGACCTTCATGCTCCTTAACAAACCGCCCACTTTCCCCCCTCCCCTTCATTCCCTGCTTAACTAATAATATTGGATGATTATTGGGTCATTCTGCATATTATACATCCAGGCTAACTGCCTATGGGATCTTGGTGAGCCGCACCACAGGTTTCCCACGCCACGTGGGATGGCCGTGTTGCATACACAAACTCCCCCACATACGTACCCGGATCGTTGATCTAGTCGCTAGGCTTGGGGTAGACTCCCCAGCTGACCTGTTGGACATGGCTCATGTTAACTCCCCCTCCTTACATAACGATACATCCTGCTAATACTTGCGTACCTTCTTCCCCCTCCCCCCTCCCCCCTCCCCCCTCCCCGTTTCTTCCCCTTTCCCCTATATTGCCCAAGCATAATATACACATTGCATTGCTTCTTATTCTCTTCGATACAAAATACTTACCGCATATACAACAAATATATACGCTGCCTATACACATGTAATAGATACGTTATAATACCGTGCCTCCTTGCATTTCCCCTAGCCGCCCATCCTCCGCCCACCCGCTACCTCACATGCCACGTGGCTTTCATGAAAAACGAGCCCACTTCCCTGCTTTGCTTCCTTAGGACAGGAGTTTTGAGAATGCATCTACTAATAAATGTTTTTTCTCGTATACACTGTTTCACCCTACTCTATATACTATCCCGCATGATCCGTAACATGCGATAGCGCTTTATCAATCTATGATAACAAAAAAAGCGATCATGAGTCAACATCCAGCGACGTCCAATTTATTCCCCGGAAGCTCAGCTTACATAAAATCTAACTATGAGACGAGGATACTCGCCGCTTTTCTATTAAAACTGACAGAAAACACTAAAAAAAGGTAGGAATTTTTGTGCTTATGAATGGATGGACTGACCAGGATACTGTTGACGGCACTATCCGCAGTGGTTTGGTTTTTTGAATGATGCTAAGTAAACATCTGCTCCTTTTTCTATATATTTTTTTGTGCGGATTCCTGAGTATCTCTGAACGTTGCGCACAACTGATTATGATTCAAGTAACCCCCCGATATCTAACGACAACCCCTGTTTTTTTCCCTTCCCCCCCCGTCCTCATATATACATAAAAGACACATCCTTCTCCTATACACATTTTATTTAGAACTGTACTACATGCAGTCACAGTAGAATATCTCAACTACATTCTCTACTGGCCGACTCCTACCCGCTTCACCCTCTCCCCCTCACCCCCCTCCCCCTCGCCCACACCTCTATAATCTAGGATAAAAACAGGCTTAAAGTACCCCGACCTCACCCATTATAATAATCTTCCCCACCTGCCTCTCTAGCGAAAGTAGCCACGTATCCCCCCCCCCCCCCCCCCCCCCCCCCCCCCCCTTCCCCCTCCCCCTTCCCCCTCCCCCAGCCGCAATAATATGACCACACACATAATCTGTTACGGTACTGCTGGCTATAAAGTAAATTCACTATATAATACTCTTGTCACATACGCTTACGTACTACACCTCAAGATCCGTATTACCCAAGCCATTCGAACATGCCCCACGACTTTCACCCCACTATACGCCTTTCCAACTCACACATAGCAGATATTATGTAGCTAATTCCACTATACTTTTTTCAGCAGTTTAAAATACCTTTATTCGTACTTACTGCAACCGTAATATGCTTATCCTCCGCTATTGCTTCGCTTACCCCCTTCTACGCGCCCGCATAATGCTTCGGTTAATTATTTACCATGGCCACGACACGACTAATCTCCGCATAAAGGCAAAAAAACTCGTCATGCTTGATTGATACATCTGCTTAACACCATAGACACTTGACTCCTGGACTGACGTACCCACTTACATCTACGATTCAAACATCTATTTTCTCTGCTTGGATATGCAGCGATCATTCAGCAAATTAGCATGCATTGCATAATATTGATTGCCAATTTTCTTCATCTATACTTACTAAAAGAATACCTCAACATCGAGGGACAAACTCGTTAATACGTTCGTAAAATACACCATACTTAGGATATAGCTACGGCACCCAACCCTGAATAAATATGTTTCCTTAATTATACATATGGCATGCATTGCCTAGAATGACGATTACTACTGAGGACTCGTCTTTTCAGCGAAGCCTAACCTTATCCAACATAAGCAACTGACCCTATATTTTTTTCATAGTATGTTGTTGGTAAGATAAATCATCTCCTCTGATATCCTCTCGCCAGAAGATGTTATACGCTGAGTTTAGTTGGCCCGTTCCCTCGCAACACGAATTTTTCGACACCCCACAAGGAACCACACCTACATGGTGAAAATATCCTATATTTCCTCGTTCTTTTGAACCTACTAAAAATAGGGTTTACCTGATGAGCTCCCCTTGCCTTGATTAACAAAATACGTACATAATCGGTTGACTCATCCTCTAAAACTAACACTACTAGGAAAGGCCAGGTTTGGCACTGAGAGATAACACCAACTTCCGACCCGAAATAATCTCTCCTGCATTTAGACTGGCGATGATCAGCACACATGCTCCCATAAGTTAAACTCCTTGTAACTAGGCTTGGATTATGCTGTCTCTGCCTTGTTGTTAATTACTCACCCCTTCCCCACGCAATAATAGACGATGCTACATCCCCCACCCCGGTTTTTCGGCTATCCTTCTCTCGAATACCTACTGTATTTTGAGCTGGCAAAAGTCATAATGCCTTCTGAGATATGTATTGGAAATTCAAAGAATGACGAACCGATTAAAATATTCTTTCGCGATCTTGGAAAATCAAAAGAATGACGATCTCCTTGTTGAGATGTGTATTGGTTGCCTTTTTTAGATTTATATTTGCTTTGTTATATTTGTATTGGCTTCTGAACCGTTGCTTTCTGATCCGTAGCTCTGGAGGGGTATGCTTGTTCAAACACTAAACGAACTCACAGGTTCAAACAATACTAAACTCACTAACATTAATGGCCTTGAAAATCGGTTCCCAGCTCCATCGCTTAAAATATTCCTACGCGTTATTGAATAACGATTTGCGATGTGTTTTGATTGTTTTTTGAGTACTATAATGCTTGTGATAATCGGGTCTCAATCCGCGATTTTGAAAATTCAAAGAATAAACGTTTTGCTTATTGAAATTGTTTTTTGAGATGAGTATTGAGATGTAGATCTGGAGGTTTATGTTTTTTTTTTTAAAAACGCTAAACGAACCCTCATGTTCAGGCAATACTAAACTCGATAAACAATAATGCCTTGTGATAATCAGGTCCCAGTACCATCACTCAAAATATTCCTCCGCGATCTTGGAAATTCAAAAGAATGACGAATTCCTTTTTGAGATGAGCAGTGGCTGCTATCCAATGATGAACACCTGGATTGCGAATGCTTACCAATCTGTCCTCCCCACCGCATAAACACTGAAAAAGCGATCTAGACTGATCGAGCACTTTTTTGCCCTGCCCGTTATTAGAAGGATACCCTCTGCACAAACAACTCTTACATGGCTAATGAGGGGTACCCTAATCTTTATAAATATTCTTATTCCTTTCACTAGTTTACCCAGTACTTTCACACTTCTCTATTTCACAATAGTAACGCCTTGATTAGTATACATTTTTGTACATTCTTCACGATCTACACGGTGGTAATACCTTTTATCAAACAAAGAAATACAGGGATAGATCGTCCAACATTTGGAATCAAGACACTGAATCTTCTCCTCCAAAAAAACTTGTTACAAATGTCTGAAAACCAACTTTTGGAATCAACTCCAATACACCGTATCTTCCCTCCGAAAAAAACTTTTTACAAATGTTCGAAAACCAAAAATCATAGTCACTGACAATTCTCACGTTTGAACAAAATTAGCACACACAAAGAGAACGCCCAAACGTAACAGATATCCATCCATTGGACCTCTCTCCAGTTTCATGGGAATGACAGTAGCCGCACAAACTTTTAGAAAATACGCATCGCATACGAAAACAGGTATGGTGTTAAAACCAAGATGCACAACTACATCTACTACACTACCCCCCTAGAAGACAGATGGCCCACTACTGTCTTTTGCCCAGGCTTTATCACGAATAGCTAAATGTTCTCACATACGAACATCCCGCTTAGACGCCATCAAACGCCCATACCATCTTACAACCCCCCTTCGCACAAGTACGTGGAACCATACCGTCAATCCCCCTAAAGCTTTGGGACCACCAGAAATGACTACCCAGCAAAATGCTGCCGCACCCTAGACAATCACCACTGATAAACGTCTCCGATGCGTAGAATACCGCGCATACCCTTGCGCTCTTGCAATGGAGGCTCCATTATGGCCTCCCACTCCACGAAATCCACTTGACGCCCGTTGTGCTCCTGTAACAAATCGCTGGTCACTAACTCCACCATCTCTGCAACCACATCAACACCAGTACCTGAAACAGAATCAGGCACATCCTTGTGCGTCTTCTTTACGAATACAGTAACCTCACACAGGAATTCCTCCCCATCATACCCTAATCCCACGCACAACTCTAAAGCTAGTTCGCCATCCGCCGTCACACGATAATGACGCACCGTTGATTCCTTAACCCGGAGACTGAACCGGTATTCCAATCCCTTCTCCTCTCCCCGACGATGGCGCAGCTCGTGCACAACTATTGCTCTGCCCCGTACATCCCCCACACACGTTATCACAATATCCATAACGCCTTCACCTTCCGAGTTCCCCGCCTCTCCCCTTTCTCGCCTCAGGCGCTCCCTTCCAACCACGGTTCTCGCCTCTACAACCCCTCCCCACTCTCTCCCCCCCGCTCTCTCTCCTCCTTCCCCCACTCTGGCTCCTCTTCCCTATTTCTCTCTCTCTCTCTCTCTCTCTCTCTCTCTCTCT